GTGTATATTCTGCTGCTTTCGAGTGAAATGTTCTAAAAATATTAATAAAATCCAACTGGTCTAAAGTGTCATTTAAGGTCACTGTTTCCATATTGATTTTCTGTCTGGAGGATCTGTCCATTGGTGTCAGTGGAGTGTAAAGTACCCTACTATGATTATGTTACTGTTGATCTTTGTCTTTATGTTGATCAATATATGTTTTATATTTTTAGGTGCTCCTGTGTTGGTTGCATAGATGTTTGCTAAGGTTATGTCCTCTTGTTTAATTGATCCCTTTATTATGATGTAGTTTCCTTCTTTTTCTTTCACTGTAGTCTTTGTTTTAAAGTCTACTTATTCTGATATATGTATTGTTATCCAAGTTTTTTTCTCATTTTTATTTTCATTAAATAAATCATTCCATCCCTTAACTGTCAGTCTGTGTGTGTCTTTTGATCTCAGGCAGGTCTCTTGTAGACCGCATATTCATGGGTCTTGTTTACTTATTCACTCAGCTACCCTATGTCTTTTGCTTGGAGCATTTATTCCATTTACACTTAAAGTGATTATTTTTTTAATTGGGGAATTAGAAGAGTGGAACAGTTTTGGGGAATTGGGGAGGGGGACCAGCCAAGTTGTTGTTCTTCAGTCTTAGTTGTGGAGGGCGCCAGTCACCATCTGGCTGCCAGTCAGCAGCTCATGGTCTCTAAGCTCAAGGTGCTGTGTTACAATCTGAGTGCAGGTGGGCATAGCCACCATCTCATGCAGGAGTTGAACCAGCAGCCTTGTTGTTAAGATCACATGCTGTATCCACTGAGCCATCTGGGCGGCAGCTAAGCTCAAGGTGCTGAGTTCAGTCATAGTTGTGGGCAGGCATAGCTCACCATTGAATAGGCAGTCTTGTTGTTAGGAGCATGTGCTTTCACCAGGTGAGCCATTTTGCCACCTGTAGGCAAATCAGTGGCAGCTCAGCTTGGGCGCAGGGTCACTGGCCCATGTGGGAATTGAACCAGTTGCCCTATTGCTCAGTGCTCGTGCTCTTAAGCTAACTCAACCAAATGAGCCACACAGCTGGCCTCCTAAAGTGATTATTAATAGGTACATAATTATTGCCATTTTATGATTTGTATTTCTGGTCTTTGTTAGTTAGTTTGTATTCAGCTTTCTTCTGCTTAAAGAAGCCCTTTTAACATTTCCTGCAGTACTAATTTGGTGGTAATAAATTTCTTTAGCTTATTCTTTTCTGGGAAGCTCTTTATCTCTCCTTCAATTTTAAATGATAGCCTTGGCAGGTAGAGCAATCTTGGTTTTAGGCCTTTGTTTTTCATCACTTTGAATATTTCCTGCCACTCCCCTCTGGCTGAGATCACAGGCTTTTATTACTACTGTACGGACCCCTGGTTGTTAGGAGCCCTTAGGTTGTGAACTACTGTCTCAAAATGATTATTCTAAATATAGGATATAATTTACATTTTAAAATCCAACACTGTTCACCAAGCATTAGGAGATTTCAATTGTAGGTATAGTTGAGCCGGTAGCAATCTCTATGACCTTGTTCAAGACAAATATATTTTTGCTGGCCTTTATTTTCTCATGTTCAGTATGGGAATTGTAAGTCCTATTCTGATTCCTTACAGCTGCCAAACTGTCTGCCCCCCTGCACCAATCCTCTGACCTAATGAGGTCATAAGGAGGTGTTTCAGAATGCTGAGACCTGATGGAATAATATCGGTCATCCTCCCTTATTGGATTGTTTTGGAGAACAGTGACTCCATCTCCTGGGGTGGTGTGTGTGTGTGTAAAGGCACAGCACATGCTGAAAACACAATGGGGACTTTCAGTGACCACAGCTTCCAGGCACATAAGCCCACAGACAATGGAGAAGGCAAAGATCATTTCCTTTCTTAATAACCAATAAAAGGTATGCATTGGCCTGATTTTAGGCTCTCAGTTCTTGAGACTGGAGTCCCTTGGCCCGCTTTAGCCAGAAACAATTGAGTCTTGTCTTTCTTAACCTTGTGCCGCCCCTCTCGCAACCCACTCTCTTGCTGTGTGGGATGTGGCACTTTTCATCTTGTAGGATTATTATGAGAATCCCATAATAAACATTGAGAACCTGCTGTGTGCTAAACAATTTTCATAGACATGTATTGTTTATTTAATTCTCAAAATAACTCTTTGAGGTAGGTATTGTTTTTGCTTACTTTACAAATGAGGAAATTAAGCTCAGTGAGTTCTCATAATTTATTTAAGATCATAGATCTAAAATGGAACTGAAACTTGATCTCTTTGACTTCAGAACCCACATTTGTAACCATTAAGTCTATATTATATTTTTTAGTATGGTCCATTATGTTGTTGGAAAAAGAGGGTCTGATTTATATCATCATCATTCCAGGAACCAGTCTAATGGAGTAACTATCATCTCTAGCATTGCTGGCTGTCTTGAGAGAGAAAAATTGTGTGATGTATTATGCACTGGCTCGTAAAATTTCCTCCCAGATATAACACATAACTTTCACTCATGCATCATTGACCAAAGCTAGTCACATGGCCATAAAACTAATGTGTGTGTGTGTGTGTGTGTGTAGGGAAAGCAATCCTACTATGTTCCAAAAAGGAAGAGAAATGTAAATATTTGGTAAGCATCATTAATGACTACCACATTTTTCAAATGTGTTTATTAATATAAAACTATTATTATGACTATGAATATTGTTCTTACCATAGAAACAATAAGGTGAGTTTTCATTTACATTTTTTTGGAACAGTCCCTTTTATAAGTCATACCATAAATCTTGCTTATATGCTACAATTTAAAATAATCAAATAATACATAAGCAAAACAATAAATAAATAAAGGAATAAGTTCCAATTTGAGCTGCTTAGAATTATGCATTTTAATGTAACACTCCTCTCATAGGAGGGCATGCTTTTTACCTTCCTGAAATATATTAGAAGAAAAAAAATGACACCAGAATGAATGACAGTATAACAAATGGGATTATGTATAAACTGGAACGAATGCTATAAACATTTAAAGAGGTTTTTTGTGCCTTTTGGGCATGGCTGATTTGAGAGCAATTTTATGCATGTGATTGTCACAATGCCTAACATAGCTATTTATAATTTCAAAGTGAACTAATGCATGTGAAAGAGCTTTCTGGAAACTGTAAACACTTTGCAAGTGTAACTATTATTATTATTATTATTATTATTGTATTTATATGATCTCATTTGATCCTTATAATTACCCTATGAGGCAGATACAATGCTGTTTCTATTATTTTCATTGTCACTAGTGGAAAAATCTCAGGAGTATTAAACTACTCTCCATGGCAATATGGTTAGTAAACAGAGGACTCAGCACTAGAACTCCAGTCTGTAACGCCTTGGTCAGCCCTATTCCTGATGTGCAGTGCTGCCTCTCCTGTCAAATGTTTGGGTGTAACTTAAATGCAGCCTAGAGAAATTAAAAATGACCAAGTGAAAGAGGAAAAGATAATTCTCAATTTGCGAGACACAGCTGGCTTTGTGCATACAAACAAGTTGAGAGAACAGGACATACTCCTTCTGATAAGGAACTTTTGAAGGACAGAATCATTCTAAGGCTTAACATTAATGGTGAGAAAATGGTCATTCTGAGGGGCCAATTAGAGGCTTGGTAGCCTGAAGTATTTTATAGTATGTCATAGCTTAAGGAAGCTGAGGAAAGGTAGTTATGCCTGCCTTGAAGAATTGAGCAAAGTAGGTTAGCAGAGTTGCTTCCATTTTGTGTGTGTGAAAGAGAATGCCTTTCTAATTTTAGTCTTCCAAGAGGTGGCTAAGCTTTTGTGTGAAGGGAAGGCTTTCACGGTGCTCATTTCGAGAGGTGCTTGTGAAATAATTTTATATCCTGTTTGGAAAAGGAAGACAATGTGGTGGAAATGAAAAATGAGTTTGTGTAAAAAGTTATCTTCTCCAGAAAAGATAGCAGAAATAGAGCTCCACAGCCATACTTATTACTTTTCTCCCTAAGTTATAGAGATGCGTGTTATCAGTTCAATGCAGGTATTGGACTCTTTAACTGTGATGTGTCTCCTGATGTTATGCAGTAGAAACTGTTTATTTAGCAGATCATTTGAGAAAGGAGAAAGGCTTTTCTTTAAACTCCTGGAAAGTTCTGGCTTTTCCCTGACTTCTCAATATCTCCACTGATATTTACCATGTAAATTCCAATTTTCAGAGTATTAAAATGTAGCTTATAAAATGACCTTTTATTTTTTAACCCATTTTTACCTGTGGTAAAACAGCAAATATTCTAAATGCAAATACCCCCCAAATAGAAAAGGATTCTTACCAAGGACCTGAGGTTGCTTTACAGGTAAGCAATTGTGTATAGCTTTGTTTAAGTAATTGAGGTTGGGTTATGTCCTAAGAAGCTATTTTTCAAGTTTTGTTTTAACTGAAAAATTTACATGTATCTTAAAGTTAGGAATTTTGTCTACAAAGATGCAGACTTTAGAGAAACCTGGGATCTAAGATTATGAAATTATCAAGTGTTCTGGCTGCGAAGTCCTAGAAGACTAGGGTTAGACTAGATTATAATTGAAGGTAGTCTTTTCAGGACCAACCAAATGCAGTTAGATTCCCTTGAAAGTGGAGTGTACTTAAGATTTTCATTACCTCTAGAGACATTGCAAACATAAAGAGAGAAAGGAAGTATTCTAATGACTTTTTAACATATATGGTCCCATTTAATTCTCACAAACTACTAAAGATAGTCCACATTTTACATAGGAAATAATGAGGCTTAGATAGAAGCTTGTTAATGGGCATAAGGCTACATTGCTAATAAACAGCAAAACTAGACTTTAAATCCAAATATATGAGACTCTCAAACCTGTGCTCATCTCACTATATGTAGTTGGCTCAAGATGACCTTAAGTAAAGTCTTACTAGATAGAGTTATTAAGAGAAACCAAGGACAGAGAGAGTCACTCCATCAGACAGTGGCTGTGTGCTGGCATCCAAGAGGTCAGGGCTGAGGATGGGGAGAATCTCAGGAACCCAGAAGACCATGCCCTGCCTGAAAGCATGGCCTGAAGGCCCAAAGGATCTGCCCTAATACAGCCATGGCAGCTGCCTGGTGATTCCTACTTTGGCTTCTCTCTGCACAAGCAGCTTCTCAACATGAGAAACAGTCTCAACTTGACCTTCCTGTGTCTGAGTCTCTTTGCTGGAAGGATGTGCAGTCAGGGGAATCAGTTCAATGTGGAGGTCGGCAGAAGTGACAAGCTCTCCCTGCCTGGCTTTGAGAATCTCACTGTAGGATATAACAAATTTCTCAGGCCCAATTTTGATGGAGAACCAGTTCAGATAGCCCCGACTCTGGACATTGCAAGTATTTCTAGTATTTCAGAGAGTAACATGGACAACACAGCCACCATCTACCTCAGACAGCGCTGGACGGACCCGCAGCTGGTGTTTGAAGGTAACAAGAGCATCACTCTGGATGCCCGCCTTGTGGAGTTCCTCTGGGTGCTGGACACGTACATTGTGGAGTCCAAGAAATCATTCCTCCACGAAGTCACATTGGGAAAGAGGCTCATCTGCCTCTTCTCCAATGGCACCGTCCTATATGTTCTCAGAATCACGACGACTGTTGCCTGTAACGTGGACCTGTCTAAATACCCCATAGACACACATACATGCCAGTTGCAACTGGAAAGCTGGGGTTATGATGGAAACGACATGGAGTTCAGCTGGATGAGAAGCAACGACTCTGTGTGTGGGCTGGAGATCCAGCGGCTCGCTCAGTACACCATCCAGCAGTATTTCACCTTAGTCACCAGATCACAACAGGAAATCGGAAATTATACACGATTGATCCTGCAATTTGAGCTTCGGAGGAATGTCCTATATTTCATTTTGGAAACTTATGTTTCTTCTACTTTCCTGGTGGTGTTATCCTGGATTTCGTTTTGGATCTCTCTAGATTCTGTTCCTGCAAGAACCTGCATTGGAGTGACCACTGTATTGTCAATGACCACACTGATGATTGGTTCCCGGATTTCTGTTCCCAATACCAACTGCTTCATAAAGGCCATCGACGTGTACCTGGGGATCTGCTTTAATATCGTGTTTGGGGCCCTGCTGGAGTACAAGGTTGCCCACTACAGCTCCTTACAGCAGATGGCAGCCAAAGATAGGGGGATGCCGAAGGAAGTGGAAGAAGTCAATATTACTAACATCATCAACAGCTCCATCTCCAGCTTCAAACGGATCAGCTTTGCCACCATTGAGATTTCTGGCGATAACATTGACTACAGCAACTTGACTATGAAAACCAGTGACAAGTTCAAGTTTGTCTTTCGAGATAAGATGGGCAGGAGTGTTGATTACTTCACAATTCAAAACCCCAGTAATGTTGATCGATATTCCAAGCTACTATTTCCTTTGGTTTTTATGCTAGCCAACATATTTTACTGGGCCTACTACATGTATTTTTAAGAGTATGTGGAATTGTTTGCATGCCATAGGTCTTCAACACAACAAGGGAATGATGGAAATGGTATTCTAAGCCAAGTATGCACCCTAACCCAATGATGCTACAAATGACTAAAATAACAATTTAGCATTTTTCCTCAAAAAATGGACCCCCAACCATTATTTAAGCTGTGTAGAAATCTCAGCATGACAGAGTCTTGTAATAGAAACATCAACCCATTCCTTTTTTTATCTTTACAAAAGACATCCCCATGGAGCCTGATTACAAACCTACTCAGGGTTGGCTGACTGCTCAGCAGCTCTCTAGTTTGCATTTACCTCATATGAAAAATGAGACTACCTGACATCAAATCATACTACAAGGCTACAGTAATCAAAACAGTATGGTACTGGCATAAAAACAGACACATAGATCAATGGAACAGAATAGAAAGCCCAGAAATAAACCCATCCATATATGGTCATTTAATCTATGACATTGGAAGCAATAATTTACATTGGAGTAAAGATAGTCTATTTAGTAAATGGTGCTGGGAAAATTGGACTGACACGTGCAAAAACATGAAAATGGACCACCTACTTACACCATATACAAGAACAAATTCAAAATGGATTAAAGACTTAAATGTAAGACCTGAAACCATAAA